TGTCCAAACGTTTGGCCTGTACTGTAGAAATATGTGCTGCTGAACCTGGAGAGCACGTGAGCAGCTTGAGCAGGGAGTTGGTTCGGCGTGGAAAGATAAAATCTGCAGCAGTCGCAAACTCTGGTTCTAGCGTGTTGCTAAACTGGAGTCTAATCGTCTCCATCTGGAAGTTGGTTGGTGAGCTTTCCATGTCAGCCACAAATGGACTACTGAGCAGTTGGAGTCTCAATTTCTGGGCTTCAAAGATGGCAAATCGTTGCGTAAAGCCGGTGCTTAAAGCAGTGTTTTCAGTTTGTCCGAGACTGAGGAGAGCATCGCAGCAGACACCGATACTAGTAGTATGGACGCTGATGACTGTAAACAGAAAGGATAGGGCACTTCGACTTTGATATTTAATCTTGCAGGCCAAATAAAAATCGACTGCGGGCCAAGTTTGGCCAGAGGGCCTGAGTGTGACACCCGTGCTCTAGATTATAGGGAGAAAAGGCTGGAATCTGTAAACATGCAGCATGTTTCCTTGGATCTTTATCCGACTGATGAGTAAAAAAGTTTTTGACCAACTGTAGTTTTTGCCAGTTTGGAAACAAATCAACATTTTGTCATCTTGTTGTTTTGTTTGTTTTCATTTTAGCTTCATTGAGCTTTTTGTAAAGTCTACGTACAAGCTCGAAAAGAGATGTGTCGGCCTGTGGTAAATACAGCATCACACACACACACACACACACACACACACACACACACACACACACACACTGTACCTAATCTGACAGCAGAGATTAGCTGTTAGCTGTCTGCAGATTTATCAGTCCTCCTCATTCAGATTCCTGGGGTGGATTTATCCTTCTCCACTTCCCCCTGTGAGAAGCAACATTTACATACTGTCTGTTAGAGTGACGGTGTTTGTGGTGGTCTGTATTCTTCCTGCGCCTCTGCGTGTTTTCTGTTTGTGCTGTTTTTGGACCCATGGGTGATTGCTACCACTGCTGCGTAAAGCAGATTAGAGAGCTGGGTGGGTTTTGGTGGATGAAACACTGGATTTCTGAACCACCCTCACATCCAGGTATATAGTGCATACCAATGAACTCACATACAGACTTCAGTTTGAATCCCCGTCCTCGTTGGGAGGTTTTTTCAGTTGAATTTAAAGTGATTTTCAGCCTCTTATCACATTTGACAAAAAAAGAGACCAAACAAAATGAAACGGTTCCTGGTCATAATGGTTACAATGGTAAAATATCTTTCGATTTACGTTAAAGTCCCATTAGCTGTCACACACACTGGTGTGTGGTGAAATGACATCTCCGTATTTGACCCATCCCCGTGGGTATGCAGTGTACGCGAGGCATGGGGCGCCAGGCTGGAGGGGGCGCCATAGCAATGATGTAAAAATGTTTTAGTCTGCATTTCTTTAGTTCAATAACAGCTGTGTTTTTGTCCCTTTGTTTATCTGCTACTTATTTAATTATTAACAGAGAAGCATATGTGATTAGGCGCCCCTCCGCATCTTAAAACCCCCCCACATACACACACACATCCGGTTGAAGAGGATGGTTTTAAACATGAGCCACAGAACCAAGTTGAGTGTTTATTTTTGAGCACTTTGTAGAATAAAGTTGCATTAATAAGCGCCAACAGAGCCTAGCTCTGCGTGATGAGCAGCTCATGTCTAACGGGGACGGCGGGGGTAACCGAGACCAATTACGTGTCTGCAACTTCGAAAGTAGATAATTGCACCCCTGCGGCGAGCTGCAGCTGTGGCTGCGCTCGAGAACTATTTGGTGGGGCCTCTGAGTGTTAGGTCGGCCTCTTTAGTCGGCTTTTAAATCTCTTTTGAAAACTTATTTTTATGATTTGGCTTTTAACTCAGCATGAGAGCCTTTTTAGTGTTAGTTCTTAAGCTTTAGTTTTTATGCATTTTTATGTTGTGTAATGTTTTTAATCATTTTAATTTCTGTGAAGCACTTTGGTCGGTTTTATACTGTTGTATGGTGCTATGTAAATAAAGCTGCCTTGCCTTTAACCACCCAATCCAACCCTATAAAGCTGAGCGTCCAGTGG